GGTGTAAAGTGGGTAAAGTAGTGCAACGGTTATATCATACTCCCCAATCATGTTAATTGTGCCTTAGTTTCAAGTACCCGTCAATTGACCACCTAGGCGGATGTCACTACCCTAGTGCCCTTTAAACTATTTGAACAACCCGTAACATTTAACTCTTCGCTTAATTTACAATTTGTAGTTTGGTACAAGTAGAATTATAAAGAAAACTCCAAAAATGATGAGAAGTGTAATTTGGAACATATACGTATTCCTAAACTAAATAGATACTTGACTCCAATTCTAGCTCTCTGTGGATATCGATCCCAACCAAAAATCGGGTAAAAGCTATTGCGACCCTCTCTTACTACTTATTAGTAGTGTGGAGTTGGAAGCGATCAGCCACCTCCACATCAGCCTTGTACTAGGCCACTATTTCCTCGGTATCAACAGAGGTTGCATCCAATTTGGACCTCACTGCCATATATTCTTGTCCGAGAGCATCCCGTACCGTGACGGTCGAGCTTAGTTGTGCCCGGAGATTATCATTCAGCCGAGACCACTTATCAAATTTGTCCTTCGCGACACGAAGTTGGTTATCGACTGATGCCAGCTCTGCTTTTGCAGCTTCCTTCTCTGAAGCTAGCAAGTCCATCTTGACCTTCCACACTTCGGTCGTGGCCTTGACCTCGTCCAACTCAGCCCGAAGCTGGTCGATTAGGTCTATTTTCTATTGGACCTGCGAAGTTGTGTTGTTAGTCACCACGACTAGCTGCTCGTTTTTAGCCTCAGAGATCTTTACATTCTCAACTAGGTTAGCTGCTCCTTCTGAGCTTTTTCTAGCTCGGCTTGGAGAATTGGGAGGTCTTTGAGGGTCTCGTCCTACTGCTCACTAAGAGCCATGTACATGTGCTTCTTCTAGACCTGCTATTTGAGCTCAAATTTGAGTTGGCTAACTCCAAGCGGTACCGGAGAAAGCTTTCACGGTGAAGCACTAAAGCCTGAAAAATAATATAGTTAGTAGAGGACATCAAAAAACCAAAGTGAGATTCACAAAGGGGTACAAAAGGGTTGACGCCCTACCCAGTTCAACGCCTGCTGCACCTCGTTGATGAGGCTCAACGTGCCCAGTTCGTTCATCTTTGCTTGGTCCTCCTCGGTCACCAAGCATCGAAGGTAGCTGGCTACACCCACCGGAGCAGACAGGACCCAGGCATCCTCCGGTATTGTAAGAATGACCATTCTATTGCGCTCAGGGTCCACACTCGGAGCAGAGAATTGCTTCAAAAGTTTTGGGCTCGAACTCGGCCCGCCCGCTCCCAAGGGCACGTCCTTCTTAGGTTTCTCCAGGTGACCAAGCTGGGAAAAATCCTCTAGTGTGGCCATATCCATGCCGTCAAAGAACGTGTTGAGGGCGTTGTCTGGGCCCTGCGCCACCTCACTTGACTTCTCTTTGCTCGCTTGTGCCTCTTCAAGCATAGACTCGGTATAGGAGGGCATCTGTGCTAGGTCAATGACACTGGTTGCCTCCTTCAGAATAGGGGTGGCTTCGCGGGAGGCCACAGCCTTCGTCTCTCCCTCTGGTTCCCTACTTAGAAGGGATTGACCTCATGGCTTTCTCGAACGTCGCTTGCTCCCCCTCATTAAAGGGTCGACCCATGAGCGATGAAAAGGTCATTGTATTTGGCTGATCCTTGAGCCGATAGAGAGAATTGGGGTCCGTTACCCTAGACCTGGTGCTCTTTTTGGGCTTCCAGACCTGGATGGTTACTTTCTTCTTCTTCACCTCGGTGTCCGAGGAACCCGAGGACTTTCTCTTCTTTTTCTTTTTCTTCTCCTCCTTCATGACGACCCTGGGCTTCCCTGAAATGGATGGTTCGGCAAGCGAGGGCGGATCCTCGTCCTCATCCAATGACCTAAGTTTGGTGCTTTTAGGCAAACCTGTAAGAAAAGAGAAAATGGTTAGTACTGTATAAGCTAAGAACATTATGATAACTATTCAGGAAAGAACCTCACAATGAGAACGAGCCTCTCATTGCCCTTCAAAGGCCTGTGCCATGCGCTCTTGGGGAATTGCATTAGGAACTCAGGCAACAACTACACGACCATAAACAAAGGCAGTGATAGAAAGAATAAAAAAAGGAATACTCAAGAAAGACAATTCTTACGGGATGCGTTCCACTCCTTGGGGAACGGCAGAAACTCGGGAGGGATCAGGTCTTCGATTTTCACCAGAACAAACCTCTCTTGCTTGCCTCGATCTTGGTCCTTGTCGATGCTCGAGAAAGGAGCCTTGCTTGCTTGGGAAACGAGCTTGATCAGTCCTCCTCGGAAGATTCGGGGACTGTATAGGCAGAGTAAATGGTCTAGGGTGAACTGGGGGGCTTCGATATTGTTCATGAAATGGCGTAAGAGGATCATGATCCTCCATAAGGACGGGTGAATTCGCCTAAGGCACACCTCGTACCTTTTGCAGAAATCAAGGACTATGGGGTCCACCAGGACGAGTGTGAAGAGGTAAGTGTAAATACTCAAATACCCCTTCACGTGAGTAGTAATATCGTCATTGGACCCAGGAACCACCACGTCCTTACCCTCCCATTTACAGTCCACTCGGACTATGGGTAGGGTTTCTTCAGTGATGGAGCATATGTATCTCCATGCTCCCTCGCCTCGGTCTTGTTAACTATAGTCCTTCTCGACCTTAAAGTCGTCTCCGATAGAGCAGCCCCCGGATATGAAGCTTTGCATGGGAGGCTCCTGAGCCACTTTGGGAATGGCCATCTCGGCATCTGCGGTCGGGTGGGAAGATGAAGGAGCAGCCCCCTAAGGCACTAACTTGGGGGTTTCTGCCATTGTAATCTGAGAAATATAAAGGTCTGAAGTAAAGAATGAAGGTTTGAAGAAAAAAATAAAGATTTGAAGATGGTATGAAGGTATGAAGGTCTGGGTTGAAGGTTTAAAGAAAATGTATGATGATTCAAGATGAAGATATGAAGGCTCAAAGAACAATGTATGAAGACTATGAGAAGTTGAAAACCGTTTAAGAGTTCGAGGGTAAAATCTAGAATCGGAAAGTGGAAGAAGTGAAAAAGGTAGAAGCTTTTATAGGGGGAAAATAATCAATGCACGATGTTTCATATTTGAGGGCAGTCAGCCGATGACTGACACGTGTCTGAAGTCAGAACGACGCGACTGAGGGGACGTTTTGATCTACCCGTCATCTCAGTTGTAACATACGAAGGAAGGAACCAGGTTCATCTATTGTTTTCCATTGTTTCGGCAAACCTACTTTTCGAAAAACGAGGGACATATCTGTATACGGGTAAAATCAGGGATAATACATACCCAATTTCCTAGTGAAGAAGACGGAAGAAGGGCATGGATGCACGAGGTTGAAATCCAAGCTGGGAGCCCTTCGTATCGAGATCCATAAAAGGTGAATGATGTATTCATCATCAGGCGTGATAAAGCAACGCTCCCCGGATCCAAAACAAGTTCTAAAACCTCAGGAAATATGGTAAACGGTTACGCACGACGGATAGAGGGCCGTGATATCCGTACCTAACCGGATATCACGGCACAGATCTCGCTCGATGTCGGTTACGGAACAACAATTAACGAGAAAGGAAGATTTTTACCTTTTTTAGACTTGTACTAGGGACGAAACTCTCTTACTATATAAAGGGGAAGTTTTTCTTTTGTAACACGCGAATCAAAGCAATACATATTTATTTTCTGCTTTCTAGCTACTGCTAAAGTTCTTAATTAATTGTTTTGTTCTTCATTCACAATTGGGCTCGAACTAAGGGTCCAATCGAGGATAAAGTTACTGTTCAACCTAGGTTCGGGTTAGGCCATAATATTATAACTGGTTTGGCTATAACATTACAACTGTTTTGATCGTTTATCTAATATTTTTGGTTATTTGTGTTGAATTAATATACGTATCCTTAAAATCGTATATTTAATTGTTATCCGATTTGAGGGTAAACAATACAAACATCTTAAGATTCAAATATGTATTATTCAGTTTTGACGAAATAATTTGTATTTTTTAACAGAAACAAAAAAGAAGAAGAAAAGAAAATGAAAAAGGAAGAGAGACGCATTAGCTAGTTTCATGGCCTATCCAAAATAAGTACCTGAAGAGGTGTAGAGAAATGAAGAAAAACATATTCCTCCCCGTCAAATTTCATTTACAAATTTATTGTATATATTTTTGCTATATATATAGAGACACCGGCTAAAGAACTCTTCTAAATCAGAAGGATAACACGTGATTTAAGTCTAACAATCAATGTATATTACTCCCTCTGGTCTATCTTAATTGTCATTTTCTTTACACGTCCCCAAAAAGATATTCATATTAAGGGTTTTTTGACTACTATACCCTTGTTTATATATTTAATCTTATGTTTTCAAGAACAATTAATGCTAAGTGCAAAAAAAGAATTTATTTTTAATTATATCTTAATTTTCTAAAATAACAAGTAGTTTAAACTAATAATTTATTCGTTAAAATGGAACAGAGGGAGTATTTGACTTTCCTTTTTAAATATATATATCAAAAAGGATATCATATTCAACATTTAGTAATTTTTTAGTTTCAACTTTCTAATGACATGTTTATCACAAAATTGTCTTTCTTTACGGTCTAATTAAATCCAATAAAACAGGCAAAATTAGCTAAGAATTGCAAAAAACAGTTTCACGTTCCTAATCCACAACAACAACAACAATAACAACCCAGTATAATCCCACACGTGGGGTCTGGGGAGGGTAATATGTACGCAGACCTTACCCCTACCCCGAAGGGTAGAGAGGCTGTTTCCAGGAGACTCTCGACTCAAAAAGCAACCGAAACCGATATATTAGTACCATACAAATGCATAATAAAATAACAGCAATACAATAATAGCAATACAATAAATATGAAATACAGAATACGACGTACGAAATAATTTGCTCTAAAATGTTTTAAACCACCCATATTTCATGATTGGCAACAGATAATAATTTGCTCTGTTTGTTTATTTGCTCTCTTATTACCATTCACACCTTCCCACATTCCCCACCTACTCCAAACGCAACTCACCTACTCCCTCCCTAAACAAATGAACCCCCACACTTTCTAGGACGATGTTCTTTCCTGCTATTTCAGCTTTAAGCGTCCACGAGGCCTAAGAAGTCTGAAGAACTTTGATATATTTTTCATATGGGAGAAACTCAAGAAAAACAGCACCACATTTCTTGTAAGCTTTCTCACACTATAATTCGGTCTTCATCTTCTTTTGTGTACGTTTTCCTAATTTTCTAAACTTAATTATTTGCCACTAATTCATATAGTTGAAGAGGAAGCTGATAAAGGAGCAGATTATATGGCGAATAGTTCAAATATTACTATCTCTCAATCATTAACTTCATGGCGTGCAAAATACAAGAGGTGGCTCGAAATAGGCTTCAACTCTTTATTAGTTCTAATTTGCCTATCAGCTGCTACACTACTCGGCGAGCTTTACTACAAAGAAGGTGGAAAAAGCACTTGGGTGAATTCACTTGTACAAACTGGTGGATTTCCAGTACTTTTCCCAATTCTCTTCTTGAAAAAAAGAGAAGAAACTCAAGACGACGACAACGCGAGGAATAACAAAAATCCATCGGTTTGGATGTTTTTATCTGTCTATGTTTTTCTCGGTTTACTATTGGGTGGAAGTTGCATGTTGAATGCTGTCGGATTATTACACCTCCCTGTTTCAACATTTTCCTTAATTGCCGCTAGCCAATTAGGGTTCAATGCCCTCTTCTCATTTTTCCTTAATTCCCAAAAAATAACTACTTATATAGCCAATTCTATAATTTTACTCACAATCTCCTCAATTCTTCTTGTGTTTCAACCTATTGATTCCTCTTCAGGCAACGGCGAATCATCGAAAGGGAAGAGTTATACAATAGGATTTATTTGCACACTTTTTGGTTCAGCAGGTATGGCGTTGTTGTTATCCACCACTGAACGTATTTTTAGAAAAATTATGAAAAAACGCACAGTGAGACAAGTGATGAACGTAGTGATTTGGCAATCTTTTTTCGCCACGTGTGCGATTCTCATTGGCCTTTTCGCGACTGGAGAATGGAAGTGGATGAAATCAGAGATACAAGAATATAAGTTAGGGAAAGTATCATATGTTATGACTTTAGTATGGACTGCATTGTGTTGGCAGATTTACACAATTGGACTTCTCAACTTGATTATGAAGGTATCTGCTTTGTTTGCTAATGTGATTACCACATTAAGTGTGCCCTTAATTCCAGTTCTGGCTGTCATTATATTTGATGAGAAGATGAGTGGGGTGAAAGCTGTTTCTATGATTTTGGCTCTTTGGGGATTTTTATCCTATGGTTATCAGCAATATCTTGATGAACTAAAGCTCAAAGCTGAAAAATCTGCGGAAAAAGAAGAATCTGAAGTTTCACTTGTTGAAAGAGGATTAAGCGGTGGAAATTAATTAAATTCTTACTAATTGTAGAAAAGGATGTGTTTTTTTTTTCCATTTTCTTTTAGTGTAAATGATGAGACTTTCTTAATTTATCTTCATGGCAGCTTTTTTCCCCATGTTTTAGTTAAACCAAGTTCAGTACATTAAATTCATGATATTCAGCAAAATTTGTCATAGGATGCCATGAATACTTCCGATAAAAAATTTATTTAATGAGAAATAAATATATATTTTTAGCCGCTCCCGTTAAAGATGAAGACTTTCTTAATTTGTTTTCTTAACATTCATTACCTACTTGTCAGTTGTTGTGATCAGGGGCGGATTTAGGAGAGCAGAAGGGGGTTAAAATTAAAACAAAATCTATTTTATGACTCTATATATTATATTTTGAATCTTTTTGACACTGCCCAAAAGCATAGCTTAGTGATCAAGAAGGTTCAAAACTTTGGTAAGATTATTGATTCAATTCCCACTTGTCATAATTGTTTTTCTTTTCTGTTTTGAATCACCTTAGCAGAAATCTAGCCTGTGACTTGGGGTTATTACTGAAACTTTTGTTTTTGTTCTTCAACGTACGTATGTATATTATATAGGAGTATATCTTTCTTTTTCTTCATGTTTTATTAACCAATTTAAGCGCATTAAAATGATACCCAACAAAATTTGTTAGAGGAAGCAATGAATACTTCCCATAAGAAACTTAATTCTGTTATTTGTTGAGAGAGACGTCTTGATAAACTCCAAATAAGAATAATAGAATATGAAAATTGATTTGCCAAAATGGCTTGTCGTATGTTCTATCAATAATTTGCTTTACTTGATTAAAGTATATGTCCCAATATATCCATTTTCGTAGAAGTTAACACTTTTATTTGGTAGGGGTTAGGCATACCCTACCCTTTCGGCCCTTCCTAACATAACCTAATGCAATTAAAATAACGCCAAAGTAGTCTAATCCACTACCTAATATTAGCACATGCCTATTATTATATCGAATAATTGAATGACGGAACATAGCTTAATCATATAGAGGGTAGATCTTTGTCAAGTTGTCATAGATATTTCAGTACACTTTAAATAAGTGTCACGATCCAGATTTTCCATCATCGATGGCACCTAACACTTAGAATGCTAGGCAAGCCAACAGATACATTTCTAACACGCTAATCACGAACCAAAACAGTAATTAACAATAATTTAAACTAATCAAATAGGAAGTGCGAAAATTTTATAACAGTTTAAAACACTAGTACACGACTACCACAAAGATCTGGTGTCACAATCCACAAACGTCTAAGAGTTACTATAAATACTGGTTTAAAGAAAATACATTTGTTCTCGAAGTGAAAGAAAACAGGGAAACTAAGATAGATGGAAGGGGACTCCAGAGTCTGCGAACGCCGGCAGATCTACCTTGGGTCTCCTGATGGACTGAATGCGACAACCCTACTTTGATCAGTGCGGTCCAGTACCGAGATCTGCATAGAAAGTGCAGAGTGCAGTATTAGTACAACCGACCCCATGTACTGGTAAGTGCCGAGCCTAACCTCGGGGAAGTATTAACGAGGCTAGGACACGACAATAACATGAACCTGTGCAGTTGAATCATATACGAGAAAATAACAACAAATAAAAATATGGCATATATTAACGGGAAAGAGAAAACATGATGAGGGGAAATATCCAATCCTGAAAATAGTACAGCAAGAAACACAATAAATATCATATTTTGAACCAACGGAAGTAATAACATAGCAAAACATGTGCACGACATCACCCTTCGTGCTTTTACTCTCATTCTCACCATACGAAAATAGTAGAAATGGCACGGCATCACCCTTCATGCATTAACTCTCTCATAATATGGCACGACATCACACCAACACTGACGCGGTAGTCAAAGCTATCTTGAGCTTCTGAAAGCTCGCCTCACACTCGTTCGACCATCTGAACGGGGCACCTTTTTAGGTCAACCTGGTCATCGGGGCTGCTATAGATGAAAACCCCTCCGCAAACCGACGGTAATAGCCTCCCAACCCTAAGAAACTCCGGATCTCTATAGCTGATGTGAGTCTGGGCTAGTCCTTGACTGACTAAATCTTCTTAGGATCCATCTGAATACCCTCTGTTGATACAACATGACCCAAGAATGCAACTGAACTCAACCAAAACTCACATTTCGAAAACTTAGCATATAACTGGTTGTCTTTGAGAGTCTGAAGAACGATCCGAAGATGTTGTTCGTGCTCCTCGCGACTGCGGGAGTAGATCAAGATATCATGAATAAAATCAATCACGAAGGAATCCAAATAGGGTTTGAACACTCGGTTCATCAAATCCATAAATGTTGTTGGGGCATTTGTCAACCCAAATGACATCACTAGAAACTCATAATGCCCATACCAAGTCTGAAAAGTTGTCTTAGGGACATCGGATGCCCTAATCCTCAATTGGTGGTAGCCAGACCTCAAATCAATCTTTGAAAACACCTTGGCACTCTGAAACTGATCAAATAATTCATCAATCCTCGGCAATGGATATTTGTTTTTAATGGTGACTTTGTTCAATTGCCGATAGTTTATGCACATCCTCATCGATCCATCCTTTTTCTTTACAAACAACACTGGAGCACCCCAAGGCGAGACACTAGGCCTAATGAAGCCCTTATCAAGCAAATCTTGCAATTTTTCCTTCAATTCTTTTAACTCTAGGGGGGCCATTTGGTATGGCGGAATAGAAATGGGCTAAGTGCCTGGAACCAAATCAATGTAAAAGTCAATATCCCTATCAGGCGGCATCCTGGCAGGTCTGCAAGAAATACTTTTGGAAACTCACGGACAACTGGTATGGAATCCATGGAAGGGACCTCCACACTGGAATCACGAACATAATCCAAATAAGTCAAACACCCCTTCTCGACCATGCGCTGAGCCTTCATATAAGAAACAATCCTACTAGTATAATGACTAGGAGTCCCTTTCCACTGCAATCGAGGCAACCCCGGCAAAGCTAAGGTCACGGTCTTGGCGTGAAAGTCCAATATAGCATGATAAAGTTACAGCCAATCCATCCCCAAAATGACAACAAAATCAACCATATCGAGAAGTAGGAGATCTACGTTGGTCTCAAGACCCCCAATAATAACCACACACGCATGATAGGCACGATCTACAACAATAGAATCACCCACCGGTGTGGACACATATACGGGAGCACTCAAAGAATCACGAGGTACAACCAAATATGAAGCAAAGTAAGATGACACATACGAATAAGTAGATCCCGGGTCAAATAATACTGAGACATCCCTACTGCAAACTGAAAACGTATCGGTGATAACTGCATCGGATGCCTCAACCTCAGGCCTGGCTGGAAAAGCATAACATTGGGGCTTGGTCCCACCACTCTGAACTGCATCCCTAGGACGACCTCCTGCAGGCTGGCTTCCACATCTAGCGGCCTGACCTCCACCTCTAGATATCTGACCCCTACCTCTACCTGACTAAGTGGGCGGTGGAACACTCGGTACCGAAACTATGGCACTAGAACCCTGATGCGGAGAATTGCTCAATGTTCGAGAGCAATACCTGGCAATGTGCCTTGGATCGATGCAAGTGTAATAAGACCTCGGCTGTTGAGACTGTTGACCCTGAAACTGACCTTGACGGCCTGGGTAACCACTTTGGAAACTCTGGAGCGGAGGTGCACTAATAAGAGCTGGTGGTGTACTGTAGGGAGCTGATCAGAATACTGCATATGAGAGCCACGACCGCCTAAAGCACCGTGAGAAGCCTGAAGTGCTGAATGAAACGGCCTAGGAGGATGACCTCTACCAAAAGAATCCCTGTCTCCAGACGAGGTACCACTGAACCTACCAAAATGACGAGGCCTCTTGTCAGACGCCTGACCACTCCCCTGAGCTAAAACCATCTCCACTAGCCTGGCCATATTGGCCGCATCCTGGAAAGAAATCTCGCTCTCAGTCTCTTTAGCCATCTGCAATCTGATAGGCTGAGTGAGTCCCTCAATAAACCTCCTCACCCTTTCTCTCTCGATAGGAAGTATAAGAAGAGCATGACATGCTAAATTAACAAACCTAGTCTCGTACTGAGTAACAGTCATAGAACCCTGCTGAAGATGCTCGAACCGCCTGCAGTAGTTCTCTCTCTAAGTGATAGGAAGGAACTTCTCGAGAAATAGCTGAGAGAACTGGTCCCAAGTCAAGGTAGGCGACCCAGCTGGCCTAGCCAAAAAACAAATCCCTCCACCATTTCTTGGCGGAACCTGACAAACGAAAAGCAACAAAGTCGACCCCATTGGTCTCCACTACCCCCATGTTCTGCAATAACTTGTGATAACTGTCCAGATAGTCCTAGGGATCCTCTGAAGATGTACCGCCATAGGTAGTGGTGAAAAGCTTGATAAACCTATCCAACCTCCACAATGCCTCAACATTCATAGCTGATCCATCACCGGTCTGGACTACAACACCCATCGGTACTACCCTAACTGGCTGAGCTACTGGAGTCTGAAACTGGGGAGCCATTTTCTCTGGAGTGTGAGTAGAGGGAGTTTGGGCTCCTTCCCCAGCGTGAGAGACAGGTGGTGCTACAGGAAATATGCCAGTCCGAGCAACACTCTCCATAAGGCCCACTAGACGGGCCAAAGCATCCTAAAGCACTAGGGTGGCTATGAACCCCTTCGGGACCTGAGCTGGTCCTGCTGGAATTGTCTAAGCCGGAACCTCATTATCGAACTCCACCTGAAGCTCCGTTGCTGGTGCTGCTGCTCGAGGTCTAGGCTGAGCCCTGCCCCTACCTCTGCCACTAGCACGACCTCGACCTCGTCCTCTTTTCCTAGTAGGAGCTACCGCTGAGGCTCGTGCTGCTAATCAGCTGATAAAGAGGTACGTGTTCTCGCCATCTACAAAAGAACAAGAGTAGAAAGTTCGATTAGCATTGAGAAATCAAATCGTATGACAGAGAAGAATAGAAGTGAAGTTGTTCCTAAACTCCGTAGCCGCTGGGGGATAAGCACAGACGTCTCCGTACCGATCTCTCAGACTCTACCTAGCTTGTTCGTGAATTGTGAGACCTAGGCAACCTAGTGCTCTGATATCAACTTGTCACGAACTGAATTTCCATTGGGATCGCGATGACACCTAACACTTAGAATGTTAGGCAAACCAACAGATACATTTCTAACACGCTAATCACGAACCAAAACAGTAATTAACAATAATTTAAACTAATCAAATAGGAAGTGCGAAAATTTTATAACAGTTTAAAATACACGACTACCACAAAGGTCTGGTGTCACAATCCACAAACGTCTAAGAGTTACTAGAAATACTGGTTTAAAGAAAATACATTTGTTCTCAAAGTGAAAGAAAATAGGGAAACTAAGATAGATGGAAGGGGACTCCAAGGTCTGCGAATGCCGGCAGATCTACCTTGGGTCTCCTGATGAACTGAAGACAACAACCCTACTTTAATCAGTATGGTCCAGTACCGAGATCTGCACAGAAAGTGCGGAGTACAGAATCAGTACAACCGACTCCATGTACTAGTAAGTGTCGAGCCTAACCTCGACAAAGTAGTGACGAGGCTAGGACACGACAATAACATAAACCTGTGCAGTTGAATCATATACGAGAAAATAACAACAAACAGAAATTTAGCAGATATTAACGGGAAGGGGAAAACATGCTGAGGGGAAATATCCAATCCTGAAAATAGTACAGCAAGAAACACAATAAATATCATACTTTGCACCAACGGAAGTAATAACATAGCAAAACATGTGCACGGCATTACCCTTCGTGTTTTTACCCTCATTCTCACCATAAGAAAACAGTAGAAACAACATGGCATCACCCTTCATGCATTAACTCTCTCACAATATGGCACGACATCACCCTTCCTGCATTAACTCTCTCATAGGATGGCACGACATCACCCTTCGTGCATTAACTCTCTCATAGCATGACACGTCATCACCCTTCGTGCATTATCACTCACTCACAATACAGTGCACGGTATCACCCTTCGTGTTTTACACTCTTCCTCACCCAAACAACAGAATAATATCAACCCGGCAAGGGAATTATCAATAACATCCTCAATTCAACATTTAGCTTCGTAACATAACTCTCAACTTATGTCAATACTCAACCATTATCAATTTCAGGAAAAACATGATAAGATTTGTTTAACATGAAGAATGACCAATCTAAGCATGAATCGTACAAATAAAGAATACAATGGTCACAAGTATAAGACTCACTCGCATGCTACAATACAACAACAACAACAACATATAGATACTCGCTACCTCACTTATACGTCGTACTCAACAACTAAATATGTAGCAAATAAGGCAACAATACCTACTCCCTTAAGCTAAGGTTAGCCACAATACTTACCTCGATTCCATAGCCGATCTCAAAGCTCAATCATAGCTTTTCCTTTCACACAAGCCTCCGAACCAATAGAATCTAGCAAATTACCAACCAAACGATTCAATTTAAGCCTTAGGAACTACCCACGATAGCAAGGAATTCAATTTAGGTAATTTTTGAAAAAGTCAACACCTGGGTCCAAACCCAAAATTCGGACTAAAACCCGATTATCCATTCACCCCCGAGCCCGGATATACAATTGGTTTTGGAATCTGACCTCAATTTGAGGTCTAAATTCCCAAAATTCGAAATTTCTAAGTTCTACCTAAAAATCCCCAATTCCACCATGAAAACTTTAGATTCTAAAATGAAATCTTGTAAAAAATAAGTAAAAGAGTGAAAGAAATGAGTTAAGAATCACTTACTTATGATTTGGGGAAGAAAAAGTATTTGGAAAATTGCCTCTTATGTTTTAGGATTTTGAAAAAGTGAAAAATGGATGAAAAGTCCCGTTTACATAGCCCTCTCTGATCCTCATTACGCGGACCGCGAAATACTGGGCGCAGCCGCGAACCTCACCGCGGTCTGCGAATTAATGGGCGCGGGTGCAGAAATTTGGCCTTACCCACCGCAAAGCCTTCTACCACGGTCGCGAAATCCCATCGCGGTCCGCGAAATTTCCAGCGCAGCCGCACTCCTAGGTTCAGAGAGCTGCAACTCTGCAACTATCCTACACCAGGTCTTTTCTAAGCCTAGACATCCCGTAGCCTATCCGAAACTCACTCGAGCCCTCAGGGCTCTTAACCAAACATGCACACAAGTCTTAACACATCATATGAACTTGCTCGGGCGATCAAATCGCTAAAATAACACCCAAAACTACGGATTTATCATCAAAATCAATGAAATTCTCAAGAACACTTAAAGTTTCTATTTTCACAACCGAGGGTCCGAATCACATCATATAAACTCCGTTTCTCACCAAATTTCACAGGCATGACTTAAGTATCATATTAAACCTTAACGGGCTCCGGAACCAAAATATAGGCCCGATACCAACAAGATCAAACATTATTCAATTTCTAAAAACCAATATATTTTCAGTTTAATAATTTTTCTTCAAAAATTCATTTCTCGGGTTAGGGACCTCCGAATTCAATTCCGGGCCTACACCCAAGTCCCATATTTTACTATGTACCCTCCGGGGCCGTCAAAATACGGGTCCGGGTTGTTTACTCAAAATGTTGATCGAAGTCAACTTAAATCAAGTTTAAAGGCAAAACTTTGTATTTTCTCAAATTTTCTTATAAAGGCTTTACGGAAATATGTTCGGACTGCATACGAAAATTGAGGAGAAAGAAAATGGGATTTTGAAAGGCTTAAAACTCCGAATTGAATTCTAAAACACGAGATGACCCCTCGGGTCATCACAATAGGACTGCTCAATATTTTATAAATGAACTTCTAGACGCACGATTTGCGTGACACTCATGAGCTAAGCACTTGGACATACGTAATAAGTAATAACAATCGTGGGATATAGACCATAGTACATTTACTAGCACCATTATTCTGTCCAATCGTGGGCTGGAACTTTTTTGGAAGCTTTTATCTATGTAATGAATACACGGGTATTTAGATTTGAAAGAAGTAAAAAAAAATTCAAACAAAGAGTTGTTCAATACTATGTTTTATATATTTAAAATTAATATTTTATTTATATCCATAGTGTGTTTTTTATAATATTTCGGTGACCCTCGGCAAAAGGTGGCTCATGGTGTAAACCACATATTATAAGTTGATATGTACTAAGGAGTAAAGTTATTTATCAACTTTTAAGTTAAATACCTTTTAACCAATAGATAGAGGATCACTTTATATTAGCTTTAAAATATAACAGGAGTCATCCTGTGCAACTTTGTGTAGGTCAAGAAGCTGGTAAAAATTAAAGCTTAAACCAACAAGTATAAAAGGAAGAAAGCTATCTACTAGTAATATTTACATGATGCTCGAAAGAAATGTATAAAGGGGAGTGTTTCTTTCCCTAATTAAAGGGAAGGACATTGTCATAAACGTGGCCTCACATGCAAAGCTTGGTATTAAAGTTACAGTTAATAATATTGTATGTTCTTAAAAAAAAGAGCACAAAGATATAAAACTGATACTAGTGCTGCGAAGCCTTTTAATTATTAATTTGTCTTTTCTGCGTTTACCAAGTAGTAGAGCATGTAATTTGGATACCAGTCGAATCTTCCAATTTTATTTCATGATTTGTCTTTATTATCATCGGATTGACGCGTCGATTATCTATATAGTAAAGGTTCTCAAATCTAAACGTTTGCATAGAGTTTTATAAGCACTTAAGATTGAAGTCGTGTACCCACTTTTAGGGACAAAAACTTCAATAGAATACTGCAGTATCCAGTTAAGAATTTTCTTAAGGGTGTTTAAATTTGAAAGAAGTGAAAAAAGTTCCGCGACAAAGTGTATTCATAATATATTATACACCTTTAAAACCTACAGTAATATTTTATTTCTATACACACTATAATTTTTCGACAAATTGATCACCCTTTGACAATGTACCTTCGCCCCTGTTTTCTCAATTGTATACATATGTTTATGCATTGAGAAAAAGTAATACCATGAAAATGCTAACACAGACAATTGCTCAGAAATAGATCATAATGAGGGAATAACAATGAAAGAGTACTCCATGTAGATTAGAACTCATCATTTTTCAACTCTTAATTTTATGTTGTCTCACTAATTTATGCTTGTTCAACAAGGGAAACTTCAGATTCTTCATTGGCCTTTGACATATCAGCTTTGCGCTTTAGTTCATCAAGATATTGCTGATAAGCATAGGATAAAAATCCCCAAATGGCCAAAATCATGGAAACAGCCTTCATCCCACTCATCTTTTCATGGAATATAATAACAGCAAGAATTGGAATAAGAGGTATAGTCAATGCAGTAATGACATTGGCAAATAGGGCAGACACCTTCGTAATTAAGCTGAGAACAACAATTGTATAAACCTGCCAACACAAAGCATTCCATACCAATGTCATAACATAGGACAATTTCCCTAGCTTGTATTCCTGCATCTCTGTTTTAAGACCTTTCCATCCTCCGCTCGCGAAAAGGCCAATGAGAATGACACAAGTGGCGAAAAATGATTGCCAAATCACTAAGTTTATCACTTCTTTCATTGTTCGTTTTTTTATGATGTTCCTGAACACGCGCTCTGTGAATGATAACAACAATGCATAACCTGCTGAGGCAAATAGCTTACATATAAACCCTATTATATAATGTTTACCGCCTTTGTTATGGCCTGAAGAGGAGTCATCACGTTGCAACACAAGAAGAATTGATGAGATAGTGAGTAGGAATATAGAATTGGCTATATAGGTAGTTATTTTTTTAGAGTTGAGGAAAAATGAGAACAAGGTGTTGAACCCCAATTGAGTTGTGTTAATAAGGGAAAATGTTGAAACAGGGAGGTATAACAAGCCCACAGCACTCAACATACAACATCCACCCAATAGAGTACCAAGAAAGACGTATACCGATAATAACTTCCAAATAGATATAGCACTGCTCGTGTTGTTTTCGTCATCACTAATAAGAGTACATTTTTTAGGAATTTTATTCAGGAAATAAATGGGAAGAAGTAATGGAAATCCCCCATTTTGCAAAAGTGAAACCAACCATGTGGTTTTTCCACCCTCTTTGTAGTAAAGTTCGCCAAGGAGTGTAGCAGCGGATTGGCAACTCAGGACCAATACTATATTGAAGAATATTTCAATCCACTTCTTATATATATTTTGTACGCCAAGAAATGAAGGATTGAGGGAAAGCATTTGCATGAATATTCTTCCTAACATCTGCTTCCTTAGCTTCTTCTTGAACTATATATATGCAAATTAAAATGTAAATAATCTTAATTAGTGGGATTTCATAAAAGATGATGAACAAAAAGAAAAGGAGATCAAGAAATTAGCTGAGGGTTTGACTACAAAAACGTGAGAAAGCTTACGAGAAATATTGAGTTGCTTCTCCCATTGAAAATGATACTCCAAGTGCTTCACATTTGTCAAGATCCTCTACTCTTCAAGCAAATTAAAGGAGAAGTACAATTATCAAAGCAGTTGGTACTCTTTTTCTTCTTTGTTCGAGAAGGAGTTGCTCTTCGACGGCAGGAGCAAGTTTAGAAAGAAACAGAGCAAAGTATAGTTATTGAAGGAATAGTATACTGTTTAGGACGCCCATGTGGGCTAAAGCCAAAATCAATATTCTAGTGCATAAACAAAATGGAGTAGATATGTATATATAAAGAAAGTAAAATAATAAAAGGATAGAGAAAAGACACAATCGATGTGTTGTGAAACTCATTGTATAGTCATGTCATTTTAGAAAGATAAAAGGGAGACTTAATCATAGGAATTTCTAATTTCTTCCTTATAATTTTCTTTCCCAAGAACATGAAAACAATACTCTCCTGAAAACTCTCAAAGAATTTCAAGGCAAAGATTAGAATCGGTCAATCTTCCTATGTTATTATTTGCAGAAATCTTTCTTCTCTGTTTATTTTTCCATTTTCTCTGTCATTTCATCTAACAGTTAGAACAGAAACTGATAAGAGCAGGTTGAAGGAATTGGAACTATTTTTTCAAGTACTTTTTGAATAATTTGCAGGTAAGGCTGCCTACAATAGAAACTTGTGGTCCGGCCCTTCATTGGACCCCGCGCATAGCGGGAGCTTAGTGCACCAGACTATTATTTTTTACTTTTTGAATGATTTTAATTATTAATTATTGTGACTTATAAGACTACTAACTTTATATATAATTCATATATATGTACTAATTTTTATTTCAATTAACTCGAAGAATCTAAGTCTATATTCATATCAAAAGTTAAGTAATTTTATTCTGTTGTCCGAACCAGCTACATAAAATGGGAGGAGAGAGTAGTTTATATACGTTAAAAGATAATTTCTTTCCTAGCAGAGTCTCTCCTTCCTTTTAATATCTTACAAGCCTAAAAAATCATTAAAGGGGAAAGGTCCATTTCTGTTAATATTTCCACTGTCCAGGTTTATTTCATCATATTTAACCTTATTTAAATCATAACTTTACTTAGATATTTTGCTATCAACCTTATTTAGACAAGAGGGGTTGCTTGGATGGTAAGCAATCTCCACTTCCAACCAAGAGGTTGTGAGTTCGAGTCACCCAAGAGTAAGGTGAGGAGTTCTTGGAGGTAAGGATGCCGAGAGTCTATTTGGAAACAGCCTCTCTATCCCAGGGTAGGGGTCAAATTTTACTTGCTCCATCGTCAAATCCTTTGTTTGAACTTATATAGATCGTCCTTTTCACCTTCAACATGTAACCAAGTTAGGATTATTCCTTCAATAATCAAAGGTAGGACTTAGGAGTAACACTTTTTGTAAAAATTAGAAAGTGGTGAATTGCATTGGAGAAGAATGACAAAAGACGTTCAAATTAATTTGATGTAATTTCTTTCATTTTTACTCGTATCAACCCCAGTAACCCACTCCTACGACCCACCTCAACCTTCACATGCAATTATATAATAAGCCATCAGAATCCTAACATGAGATTCAACCTTTTATTCAAATCCATAGAAAGGAAGTCTAAACAAATAGTTTAATTCAACCAGGTAGCGAGAGTTACTTCAGAAGTGGAAGTACTTTACATGTTTGCTATGGGAAGTAATGTTGAAGAAAAGGAGCTGGATATAATTATCAGTAAGTTTCCCTTAATGTTTTAATTTAACTTCCTTCACTAGTTTCTTTTTCTTTTTATCTGAGGGTAAGTGACGTTGAAGACTTGAAGTTGATAGATAATGACAATAAAAACGGATTTAAGTCATATACCCTAATAGTATACAAAATTAAGCACTATTTGTACAATTTGACTCGATATAACATATTATTATTCTATTTTCAAATTTATCATATCAGGCTTACTATGTAAGTACGTACGTACTTTTATGGTATGTCAATGTAACCTGATAATATTAAAAATTTATACACCGCCGCATAAACTTAAACTCATAACAAATTATTGTATGTATATGGGCATTTTCTTTTACTTGTGTATGTTGGTGAAATAAAAGACGCTAGCTAACTTTGATCTTTTGGCTTATTCACAGTCCAAGAAGAAACTGAAGAAATGCAAAACTTGGAGAAAATTATTGTTGAACCTGAGTCATTGACTTTGACTGCCGGTAAATACAAGAGGTGGCTTGAAGTAGGGATCCACGCCTTCATTGTTCTGGCTAGTCAGTCAGTAGCTACAATACTTGGAAAGCTATATTACGACAAAGGCGGAAAGAGTACGTGGTTGGCTTCACTTGCTCATGTTGCGGAAGCCAAATGTATATAGTGTGAATAAGTCACAACTACTATATCAAAAATTATGA